TAGAGAAGACCTCCAGCAGCTTCTGGACCAAAATGGCAAACCTTCAACCTCTGAAAACCAGCTCCAAGGTGCTTAGAGTGATGGTGGAGGTGTTAGGATAGGAGGTGGTGTGTAATGGCCAAGAACAATGGAGCTTTGGAGCTTGAAATAAAGAGATATAGGGAGAGGTGTATGTATGCCTTAGCCAAAAAATCTGAACCTTTGCTAATGAGGGAGAGAGCTTCTCTTATGGGAGAACAAAGGTCCAAGCTTCTCTTGGAAGCTTGGAGCAAAGGGCCAAGCTTCTTAAGAAAGCTAAAGCAAAAAGGGTCAAGCTTCTTGAGGAAGCTAGAGCAAAGGGGTCAAGCTTCCTCAAGAAGCTAAAAAAGGTTCAAGCTTCTCTTGGAAGCTTGGAGCAAAGGGTCAAGCTTCTTTAAGAAGCCAAAACAAGAGGGTCAATCCTCCATACACGTGTATGGATGATGGAGCAAATGCCTCCCAGATGGCACAACTAGAAGCAACTTAGTGAGACAAATCTGCAGAAAGCTGGCCGACCAGTTCAAGCGGTTGGCCGACCACCTTCCCTGGTCGGCCGACCAGGGTCAAAAGGGTCAAGTTGATTTGGGTGGTCGGTGGCCTCTAAGGATGGTCTCCCAGGTGAATGCAACTCAGTGGTGGTATGGGAGACCAGCAATTGTGGCCCAGAAGTGAGGGAGACCAGCTCTCTAATAAGAAAATCGGCCAGCAAAGAGAAAGGTGGTCTCCAAGAAGAAAAGGTGGTCTCCCACCCCGGTACCACCTTCCTAACAATGAAACTAGGGTCCATGCCAAAAATGAACCCACACTGATGCAAAATGAGGGTTCGAGGGCCAAAACGCGCAGCCGGGTGCCCCGAAAACTGACTATTAAGCATCGAAAGTGGCATGCGACCACGAAGGTGGTCCCCTGGGCCACAATGTCCCTCTAGAGAGAGGAAACAAGGTGTGTACCAAAAACCGGAGCAAACGGAGAAAGTTAAGCGGTCCCAAACCGAGGCGCACGGCCGACGGCTCCGAAAATCGAAAACTGATCTCCAAATGGGAATAGTGGCCTACGACTACGAAACGTAGCCTATGGCCACGAAACATAGCCTACGGCCACTGAGAGATGGTCTACATGACCTCTCCCTCCCTTCGGGAAGAGAAAACATAACCTAGTTCACAAACCGAGGCAAAGCACAGAAGAGTCCCGAAGTCCAGAGGCAAGGCTCTTAGCCGAGACTCCATGACCTCAGAACGAGCACAACATGCACAATCACCGAGCGCTCAAACGATGACGTCTAAGTCCTAAGGTCGGTCAAAAATGGGGTATCCTAAGGTAGGTCAAACGATGACGTCTACAGTCGGTCAAAAATCAGTGGCCAAATGGGGTGTATGGTGGGGCTTTTTTGAGCCAACTTATGGCTTTTGGCTTTTAAAAAGTTATTTTGGACTGTTTGGTTAAACTTATTTCAAACAGCTTCTGATTCTAACAACTTATTTTAAGTCAAAAAAGCTAATTCTGAGAAGCTGCTCACCCCTTCCTTCTGATTATCAACTTCTGCTATAGACATGTTAATTTACGGTTATACTCTTAGAATTTTTTATTTTATTTTTAAAAAAAAATAGAAAAAGACCCAAATGGACTATAAAATATTATTATTATTTTTTATGAGAAATGTAGACAAATAGTGAATAATAAAAAATAAAAGTTAATTGAAAAAGTTACTTCATAGCTTACTTAACAAACATTACTCAGCAACTTAAATCTATAATCCAACAGCTACATCAAACAGATTAACAACTTCTGATTAAAGTCATAATTTATAATCTGTTAAGGTATAATCTATAATCTGTTAAGGTATAATCTATAATCTGTTTTAACAGCTATACCAAATAACACCGAAGTCTTGGCATACTTGGTAAAATATCAGTATTTGATATTTACAGATCATAGTTGTCAAATCGAGATTCGTATCGTGAATCGAAATGATCGTGTAGCGAATCGCGAATCGAATCGAATCGTGAATCGTAAATGAGAAACATAGTTGTCAAATCGAGATTCGTATCGTGAATCGAAATGATCGTGTAGCGAATCGCGAATCGAATCGAATCGTGAATCGTAAAGATTCGGTCACTTTTTTAAAATTACTTAAAAATATATGTTTACACATTTAGATGTTAAATATATCTTATGAATATGAAATATTTAGACTTAAATCAATGAAAATGTTATTTTGCGTGATAATCACGTAGTTTAATAGGTAAGAAGTTAACAAAGATTCTTATGTAAGATCACTATCTTACTTAAGATCACTATCTTACTTTTTTTCTTTTTAGATATTTTTTATCAACCATTCTTAATAAAGATAATAACCAAATAGACAAATTATCAATTTCCAAAATAACAATAATTAATAACGATATTGATATTTGGACAATAAGCATACGTACTTTTCTAAGTAACAGTGAGCAAATAATAAGAAATAATTATTTAGAATATTTTATTTTAAAACCTAAAACATTTTCAAAGGTATAACAGACCTCACATATGTAATATTCAATTATATTCAATTTAATAAAATAGCAATAGATAATTCATATTGTAACTTTAATTTTAAACATCTTTAGAAGATATATTATGAATTTTTAAAGGGAAAAAAAAAATGAGAAGAAAGGTTAAAAATATGTTAGGTCTGCTAAATCTGATTGGATTTTATTAAAAACTTCATGATCACTAAAATAACAACAAATTATGTATATATGTTGGTTATTTTAGTATTAAACGCTATTAAAAGTTGAATCGAATCGCGAATCGTAAGATTTTGATAAAAGAGAGATTCACCTATAGATTCGTATCGATTTTGCAAAAATTGTGAATCGAATCGTGAACCGAATCGCGAATCGTAAGATTCTGATAACAGAGCTACATATGCTAAATCTGACATTTCTCTAAAAAAAATATGAAATAATAAGCGCACGTTGATATTCGTAGGCTATTGTGTTTGTTTCATTCCTATTAGGAATACAAGTCTAATAATTAGATACTTCAAACTCAAGTGGGTGAAATCAATCTCAACTTTGCTGAGGACACATATAGCATGTACCCATTTTATGAAAATGTTAAAATAACATCCAGTCAAAAAGTGATGGGGACATAAATAAAACTAAATTAGCATTAGTTGAACCTTGGCAAGCCTTGAATGATGCTTGAATAACCAATATCTTCTTTTATTACTTTTGTTTGTTAGTTTTTAATTTTAATTTATAATGGTCTAAATACTTATGGTGAAGCCAGTTTTCTTATGGTTATTTAAATTCTAAAACAGTATGTCGCTATTATAAAAAACATGTTGCTATTGTGGAACTAATATAGCGCTATGTTTATATTTTTATGAAATTACATAGTCCTAAAATCAAATGACCGTGAAGAAAAGGATTGTTAACTATAGTAGAAACACAACTATTGGAGCCATTGATATGACCACCAAAGTTTCCATTGCTATCTTCGTTTGGCCATGATCATACCTGTCACACTTCTACCGGGACAATACCATTACTTATGCCACGTGTCATCATCATTGTTGTTGTTAAGAGCATTGGTACCGACACCACCATTGAAAGTTCCACATCACTACACTACTGCCCAATCCATTACCATGCTACCTTCGTGTTACTTTGAATGCTGCTACCATTGTTGGTGTGGTATTATGGGTATTATCATCACCAAAAAAAGAAAAAGAAAATCCAATTGATGTAGTGAAAAAACGTAGATATAGAATTGTGATTCTCATAGATGATTAAATATCCATCTTTGGTATGCTCATCTTTGTGTTCGTAGACAACACTATTATCCTAGTAAATTACATATTGGTACGTACGTTCAGAAACATGGTACATTTCTGTTCTAAAACGGTAAAATTAGTGATATGAAGTGATTCCAAAAGTTTTTTTTTGCAATATATTTTCTTAAGTGTTACCTTAAGAGGAAAAAAAAAAATCAAATATAATGAATTAAAATCTAAAAGAAGTTAAGTTTTGATAAGACAAAACAAAAATGGAAAAAAAATTAAAAAAAAATTATCGGATGCTTAATTGCTATAAGAAAATTACTCTAGAAGTACATTACTTTTTTAAGTGTAATATATACAAGTCTATTCTTATTGTACCACATTTTAGAACATGTGGCGTACCACATTCCTGTTCCCGTTCCACGTATCAAAATGATTCACGTTTCAGGTAACATAGACTTATCTAGATTGGAGATGCATTCCACTCTACTTGGGGGCACAGAAGAAAAGAATTCAAGAGCGTGAATACCTCTTGTTAAGAAGTTGATTCACATCATCTTAAAAGTTCTTTGACCAATGATTTTTCCTCAGTCTTTCACTCATTTGCAACATTTTATTTTTAGGTGCCACAGAATGAATCCTGCTTTAATACCAACTGATGTTGTGAAAAAAAAAAAAAAACTGCAAAAAGAACTTCTGGGATTGAATCATCAATCACTGTAATCAGAAACTGAGGCTGAAAAGACTGTAAAGGAGAGATCTCCAAGCAATAGTGTATTTTTTCAATATTATAGCCAAAGCAGGTCTCCTTTTCCAGATTTCATTCATGTTTATAAGACATTACAGCCATAGCTGTCATCTAATGCACTCTTATATATTCACTAGACATATCCAATATCAAATGTAGCAAGTTACTAGGCACATAGTTAATGTCTACTGAGACTTGTTGATCATATTAATTCCAATACAAGTTCCAAATAGGTGTCACAATATACCTCCTAAGCTCCTAATTTACTGATTTCCCATGTATACCCAATCTGTCCCATGAGTAAAAATCTATACTTCATAGCCAATTAATTTTCTCATATCCAATTGGCTGTGTTAGAAGAGTTTATTCGATTCCATCATAACCCCTCCATTTTGAAATTCCTCAGTAGTTATAAATTCTTCATCCAAACACACTTTAGCTAAATTTTTTGTTGTTCTCTTGCAGGGACAAAATTTTTTGTCGTCTGTGAGCCAGGAACACAACATATGGACGGCCTCTTGAAACATATCTATGAACTGTACACAGATTATGTTTTAAAGAACCCCTTTTATGAAATGGAGATGCCAATCCGATGTGAGCTCTTTGATATAAACCTGGGACAGGCAGTTCAGAAGGATCGTGTCGCCTTGTTGGGGCGATGACACTTACCTTGAAGCCTTTATTGGACTAAAGTTTCATATGTCTGTTTTTGTTCATCTTAAGGAAACTATCTCAACTTCTAGTTTGTTCTAACCAGTTCAGTTTGATGTATGCTACTTTGTTTGGATTGGGTCCATATGTTATGATATATAGCTGAAGTATGTAGACGGAGATTTTTATGATTTTGTCACTGAGGGGGAAAGAAATTAAATAGAAAGAAGTAACTTCTGTTATATGTTATCGACTCTTATCATTGAAGAATCTGACAATGATTCAAAAAATAACAGTATTTATTGTTCTCCTCCATCTTATTTCCTTTGTTCTCTTTTTACTCTTCATCTTTCTACCCAAAAATTCATACTTCATACATTTAACTCAATTCTTTTCTCCTTACTTAGGCCATGTTTGGCAATTGGCTAAAATAGCCAAAAGCCAATACAAAAAGTCAACCCATTCTATCTATTTTTTACACGTTGTTTCGTAAGAAGCCAAAAAAAATACTAAAAAAGTCAATTCTCAAATGAGCCCTTAGTCACTATCTTTCTATATATCAGTATATTTGCGACAAATTCGTCCAATTTTGCTAATTTTTTGTGGTTTGGGGATCAGAAAGGGAAATCTTATCATTGGTTGAGTTGGAGGAATCTTTGTTTGCCTAAATCCAATGGAGGTTGGGTTTTCAGGACATTTCCTGTTTTAATCCATCTCTTTTGGCCAAACAGGTTGCCTTCTATTCATTTGTCCCGATTCTTTATTTTCACTATTCTTTTATAACCAAATATGCTTTAGTTCTCCATTTCTCCCCTTTCTTTCTGTCAATCTCTTCTTTCTAGCTCTTGGTGTAGTTCTCTTTTTAGGGAGTTTTGAAATTGAGTTTAATGATTCAGGCAAGTTCTAGTTCCCATATTTCAATTTTGGAAGACTATTGGATTTCTAACCTGTCTCCATGAATTAGCTTCTCCTTAGTCCCTTCTGAGTCCACCCTTTGCTTTATCACCCCCAACCATTGTTATGGATCTGTTTCTTTCCCAGAAAGACAAAGGAATCGCTCCCTGGTTTGTTCTCTTTTTCGTTTTTGTTTTCGTTTTCCTGTAGCTAATTGTATCTGCTCTCTACCTTTCTTGCAGTTTGGATTTTCTGATAGTCTCATTCTGCCTCGGGAGAATTCACTCTGCTTACACTCTTCTTCTTGATCACCATTACTTTCTCAGCTTAGAGCCAGGATTTCTGGTCTTATTTATTGTGATCTTACCTCTTCTTCACCTACACTTTTCCCTATCAATTCCCAGTCATCCAGGTTGTTGAATCTTCCTGTGCCTTTTATAGTATTGGTGTTTCTATAGCAGGCTTGTCAGGATAAGCTTTTCTATGGCTCCAAGCTTGTCAAATGGTGGTGTAGATACTCTTTGCCCTTTTTGTTCTCAGACTGGATAGACTGGATCACGTTTTTCTTCTTTCTGACTTTGTCGAACCTGTAGTGCAGAGCAATTTTCTTTCAAAAGCTGGTTGGGGGATTGGTTTACTAGGGGATCTTTGGGGAAGATTGATATTCAACCATCATGCTTAATATCTCATGTATTTGGACCATTTGGAAGGCTCACAATAAGGTGACTTTTGACCACTCTCCAGTTCCCTACAGTTGCATCATTAAACATTTTAGTTTTATCGAACCATTAGGGTTATCCTAGTGTTCAGGCCCCGTGTAGCTCCCCGCCCCCTCTAATGTACAAAAGAAAAACTTTTTAGTTTTATCAACCTAATCAATTGTATATTTCTTGTTCCCAGCTTGCTTCCCATACTGTTCCTTGCTTGAACTCTCAAAACTTCTAGGTCTTCTCTGTTTTTTTTATGACAAATCTTTTATTGCTCGAAACATTTCTTGCTCAACTGAACAAGTCAACAAATACTGTACTAGCAGTAACTAAGAACGATTTTAGTTCAGGTCTTGGGTACAATTAGCAGCAGATTTCATCAGTTGAGCTAATTACTACCTTTTATTTGTTGTTTTTTGGGAAAGTAAATTACTACCTTTTAGTAAACGCTACTAGTTTGCATTTCAGTTGTACAACCTAACAACAGCAGGCAGTCAAAGCATTTGCTCTTGCAGTCTTGCATTACACAAAATTAAGTGCTGTTCTTTTTTCTTTTTTCTTTTTTATTTTTATATTTGCATTGTAGAATCCTCACAAGGAAGGAAGAACAAATGTTGTGTCATTTTGTTGATAGTATGTGTGGATCATACACAAAGATGAATGTATATAACAGTGACAACAAAATACTTGAAACCTTGACAGATTTAGGGAAATGGAGACAACAATAAGTGCAAGAAATTTATCTTACGCCAAGGAGTCTAATAATCATAGTTTAACTAATTGAGAGAGAGCGAGAGAGAGAGAGAGAGAGTGCGAAATGATTGAACAATACTCATCAACTAACAAGCATAAAACCAGTTACAAGAGCCATTGTAATGAGCTGCCTCATCTGCTTGTTCTGGTCACCCAACGGGTTCACCCATAAAAACTCCGTAACAAAAATACCATCACATATGGCCACTTCTCTTGACGTTTTCCATTCATAAAACATCATACCCCTGTAATCTTTCTGATCGAACGACCGGAACGCCTCCCTGAACAATTCCATCACTGCATAGTAACTGTTGTCACAAACAGTAAGATAGTCCCTCATCCGTACATCGGTTGTGTCTGTGTCTGCTAGGAGTCTCTTCACAAATATGTATGTGTTGGTTGCGTTATACAGGGATTGCTCAATTGTGATCTGTGCTAGGCCCTCGACATTTGTTGTTGGGGCCTTTAGGTTTTCATTGAAAGTTGTGTTGCAAAATCCGAAATCCTCGCATTGGTGACAAATCTGATCAATCAGTTGTTGGGTTCGGGGGTCACTGGAAGCGGGCTGGATGAAGAGAGTGATGACTAGCAATGGAGATAGTAGGGAACAAGAAAAGAAAGAAGCCATTTTTGTTCTCTCTTCCAATAAGGGTTGGAAGTGAGGAGGGAGTGAAGGAGAGAGAGAAGTACATATATGGGGGGATGTATCATTGTTATTGAGTTGTAGAATTTATGTGATTACCCAACTGTGTCATTTTAGTTACAGCTAGATTCATCAAGAGAATATTATAAACGTTGAAGAATCACATTAATGGTTATACACATATTGGCATATTAATTAACTCAATAGTAGATGACATTTAGTACATTTTGGCACATTGATGATAGTACACTTTGCATATATAGCGCGACTTAGTATTTATCAAAAAATATATATATATATATATAGAGAGAGAGAGAGTGCAACTTAATATACAATTTTATTTTCGCCAAAATAGGGTTTGGAAAGAGCAAGATATATGGAATTTCTCCTTTATTTTTGGACAAGTTGTTTCTGTGATAGTTCAATTTGCTCGTTAGTCTTTTTCTTTTTTCTTTTGGTAATAGTGAGAATTGAATATCCTAGGTAACAAAATGTTAGAATTCACCCAATATTATGTATTTGTGTGCAGTACCGTAGTCTGAGAAATTATATACTACATAGATTAAGGAAATCACTCACTTATAATTAAATTAACAAAGTACATTATAGCATACATGGAAAAAGAAATAGATCGACATGTATATAAAATCTCAATCACTGGGCGATTCCTTGCGCTCAGATCAGGTCTATTAAAGGATCTGACTTTATCTTAATATAATCCAAATTTAATCTAAAAAATCTGAATTCATTAAGAGAAATTTGATATGATAGTCCAAATCTGATTGATCCAATCACTAATGTTGTGTTTGGGTTATAAATTTAGGTAGAGATTTGGAAGGAGAAAAGAAAAAATGAGAGAAATGTGAATGAAATATAAGTTAAATATAAGTTAGGTGAGAGAGAACATCCTGATGTTTTCTTTCCTCCTGTCTCAAGGCTCTTCTCTTGCATCTCCTCTCCCAATCTTTTATCCTCCTATCTCAATGTTCTTTCTATTAAACGATTAAAGAGGCTCATGTCCGGAAAGATCGATAGAGGATCTGATGTTTGATTGATTGTGTTCTAGGACTTATATGGCAATTACTGGCTCAATCCGTAAAACCAGGAAAATCTGATATGAATATGATTAAATTAGTCATTAACATAGGTGTAGGCAAAATCTGAAGAGGATGAGAAGCAGAGCACCAGTGTTTTCACTAGATATAGTATAAAAGTAATAGAAAGTGGATTCAACACTTGTAAACTATGAAATATATTAGTACAATCATAAATTTTCAAATATTCACATACCCAACGAATACAAGTTAATCAGAAACCAAAAGCAATCTCTATCTTCCTTAATTGCAACAATCTTCCACTAAAAGGTAGGCCAACTTCAAAAATAAAAGGCCACCTTCTTAACTTTGAAAAGCCTATACATAACCAAAAACCAAAAAAATATGTTTAGGCATTAATATTATTACTGTCCTTAGCTTGCCAAAAAAAAAACTAGGCAGCAGATGGGGCGGTAATGTAATGACCAGCGTTAGCCTCTGACACCGTTGCCGCCATGAATTTGTCAGCTTCACCTTCAATGGGTGATGTGTTAGTCTTCTTATAATCCAATGACTCATCATTGTATATATTTAGGGAAATGGAGACAACAATAAGTGCAAGAAATTTATCTTACGCCAAGGAGTCTAATAATCATAGTTTAACTAATTGAGAGAGAGCGAGAGAGAGAGAGAGAGAGTGCGAAATGATTGAACAATACTCATCAACTAACAAGCATAAAACCAGTTACAAGAGCCATTGTAATGAGCTGCCTCATCTGCTTGTTCTGGTCACCCAACGGGTTCACCCATAAAAACTCCGTAACAAAAATACCATCACATATGGTCACTTCTCTTGACGTTTTCCATTCATAAAACATCATACCCCTGTAATCTTTCTGATCGAACGACCGGAACGCCTCCCTGAACAATTCCATCACTGCATAGTAACTGTTGTCACAAACAGTAAGATAGTCCCTCATCCGTACATCGGTTGTGTCTGTGTCTGCTAGGAGTCTCTTCACAAATATGTATGTGTTGGTTGCGTTATACAGGGATTGCTCAATTGTGATCTGTGCTAGGCCCTCGACATTTGTTGTTGGGGCCTTTAGGTTTTCGTTGAAAGTTGTGTTGCAAAATCCGAAATCCTCACATTGGTGACAAATCTGATCAATCAGTTGTTGGGTTCGGGGGTCACTGGAAGCAGGCTGGATGAAGAGAGTGATGACTAGTAATTGAGATAGTAGGGAACAAGAAAAGAAAGAAGCCATTTTGGTTCTCTCTTCCAGTAAGGGTAGGAAGTGAGGAGAGAGTGAAGGGGAGAGAGAAGTACATACATGGGGGGATGTATCATTGTTGTTGAGTTGTAGAATTTATGTGATTACCCAGCTGTGTCATTTTAGTTACAGCTAGATTCATCAAGAGAATATTATAAACGTTGAAGAATCACATTAATGGTTATACACATATTGGCATATTAATTAACTCAATAGTAGATGACATTTAGTACATTTTGGCACATTGATGATAGTACACTTTGCATATATAGCGCGACTTAGTATTTATCAAAAAATATATATATATATATATAG